CCAACATGGTGAAACCCCATCTCTACTAAAAACATGTGGTGGTGCGTGCCTACAGTCCCAACTACTTGGGAGGTTGAGGCAGGAGAATCGCTTGAACCCAAGAGGTGGAAGATGCAGTGAACTGAGATCGAGCCATTGCACTAGAGCCTGGCAACAGAGCTAAACTCCATCTGAAAAAAAAAAAAAAAGGAAATGAAAACATTAAAATGGTATCTATTGGCCCAAGTAAGACAGCAAAGTTAGTTATCTTGCTAATTTCTAAACATCATCACACTATGAAATAAGGTGGAGAAAACAAAACCCTATTCAGTTTCATCAGTAACAAAATGATGAGTTCATTTTTCAGTGCAAAGGGCCCCAGAGTTGCAACTCACGTAACCTGATCATGCCCAGATGAACCAAGTGTTCCCAATTCATGACCCTGGAGCCAACCACAGTGAAATCTAAGTATTCAGATTGAGGAACAGGGATGGAATTAAGAAGGGAGGGGTTCTCTGTTTTGCTGCAGTATGGACTTAAGAGCCAGGGACCCAGCATCACCTCTTTGCATGACCCAATCAGATCATGCCTCCTTGCATTGTTCTCTCTCTCTCTCTCTCTCACAGTTATCATCTGCCTATAAGCCCTGTCCTCAGACCTCAGCCTGGGAGACAGATTTGAGCATTGTGTCTTGTCACCTTGCCAGTCAACTTGCAATGAAGCTTTTTTTTTTTTTTTACCTCAGAGCCAGTACCATAGAAATGTTTTCTAAACACAATTGAGTGGTGAGCCCATTGATAGGTAGTAATGACAATGAGCAAGTTGCCTAAGATTTCAGGAGTACTCCACTCTCCATTCCTCCCCAAAAGTAAACACTGAGACAGTGGTCACTCAGCATTGTTTCTACTATTCTCTGGTCTCTCAAGTTTAGATAGCCCTAGCAAGTAGGTCATACCAAGAGAGAGTGAGACCTCCATGTAGAATTTTAAATTTTGTATTATTTTTAAAATTTCAGCATTTTTATGTTTTGCATGGGAAGCATAGAAATGAAAGGTTGAGGATAAAAGGGAATGAATAGTTAATGGAATATGACCTCTATAGATAGAAGAAAGTGATCGTGGAGGACCCAGAGAATGGGTGAATGAGTTTGCTTTGACCCACTGAGACAAGAAGAAAGGACATCAAGATGAGTCTGGATACAGAAAGCATTTTGGGTGGCTGGGGCATGATGTCAAGAAAATTCTCTGTTGATGATCTCTAAATTTCCTATGAACTAGGAAGCAAAATCATATAGCAAGAGAGTGGGAAATATGTCTTGAGGACATGGTAAAGATTAAACCCCTTCTTCTCATCCATGATGCAGGAGGATATGCAGGCTACAGAATGGCTTAGCGGAGATTAGAGGTCATAAATCTGTAGTGGTACCAAGTTTTACACTTTTTTGGTTGCTAAGTAGTCCATATGAAAAATGTAGCTGGCTAGAAAGATTTGCCAGGTGAATACAGGGAAAGGGCAATGGGACAAAACAATAGAGAGGACCAGCAAGGGAGCCACTGATGTGTTGACTCTCAGAGTTAGGCTGGACTGGAAAAGGGGCTGAGGGAAGAAATGCAAATCTAGATCAGATAAAAGAAGAGTGTGGGGATCAAAGGTGGGAGGTTGTAGCTGGGGTGTAGAAAGTCAGAGATAAAGATCATAAAGGTAGATGTGGCTCTGAGGGTGCTCCTACAGGGTACAGCTGGGGACAAGGGAGACTGAAATCAAGCAATGGGGAAAGTTACTAGGGTTGAGGTTTCAAACACCATGACATCCTAGGTGAATCTCTCAGCGATCATGGAGATGGAGCTTCTCCTTCTGTCTCACACAGAAGCTAAGCCTCATTAAGGTTTTGTGCTTTGTCCAGAGTTATCCAGCTTACACAGGGCAGTTCCAATATTAGAACTCCCAATTGGTGGTTACAAATATCACTAGCCGTGGGCATTCAGAGATAGTTTCTGATTATTTGGGGATGGGAGAGGTTGGGAGTGTACAAACCCTTTTAATCCTAGTGTAGTTACATTACTGCAGACTCCAGAGGTATTTAGAAAGTATGTATCTTTGGCCGGGCGAGGTGGCTCATGTCTGTAATCCCAGCACTTTGGGAGGCTGAGGCGGGCAGATCATGAGGTCAGGAGATCAAGACATTCCTGGCTAACATGGTGAAACCCTGTCTCTACTAAAAATACAAAAAATTAGCCAGGCAGCTACTCGGGAGACTGAGGCAGGAGAGTCGCTTGAACCCAGGAGGCAGAGGTTGTACTACTCCAGCCTGGGTGACAGAATGAGACTTCGTCTCCAAAAAAAAAAAAAAGAAGAAGTAGAAGGAAATACCTATCTTTGTTCTTTCCACTGAATGACACAACCACCGATTGACCCTGCCAATCCCGAAGCCCTTTAAATCCACCTGCATGACTCACCTTCCTTCACGTCCCCCATCCCCTCAATCTCCAGGCTTTTGTAAGTCTTGAATGCATATTCTCCTTTCCATCTACATAGTTTAGGCCCTCAGCATCTGTATTAGTTTTCTACTATTGCCGTAGCAAATGATCACAAATTTAGGGGTTTAATATAACACAAAGGTGTTACTTTACAATTCCGTAGGCCATAAATCAGTATCAGTGTCACCAGGATAAAAGGCGTCAGTAGAGCTCAATTACTTTCGGAAGACTCTAAGAGAGGATCCATTTCCTTGCTTATTTGGGTTATTGGCAGAATTTAGTTTCTGCTCTTGTAAGACTGTGGAAGAAATGCAAATTTAGACCAGATACAGAAAGTCAATTTTTTTGTTGACTGTCAGCTAAGGTCCTTTCCCGGCGCCTGTAGGCTATCCACAGTCCTTGGTTCATGGTTCAGATTGAGTTCTTCTCACACTTTGAATCTCTTTGACTCACTCTTCTTCCATTTTCAGGGATTCATGTGATTAGATTTGCCTCACTGAATTAATCCAGGATAATCTCCTATCTCCTCAACGGCATCAACCTTTTTTTTGGGGGGGCGGGCGGGGGACGAGTCTCACTCTGTTGGCCAGGCTGGAGTGCAGTGCCATGATCTCGGCTCACTGCAACCTCCACCTCCCAGGTTCAAGCAATTCTCTGCCTTAGCCTCCTGAGTAGCTGGGACTACAGGTACCTGACACCACACCCTGCTAATTTTTTGTATTTTTAGTAGAGACGGGATTTCACCATTTTTTGGTCTTGAACTCCTGACCTCGGGATCCACCCACCTCAGCCTCCCAAAGTGCTGGTATTACAGCCACCGCGCCGGGCAATGGCATCAACCTTAATTACATCTGCAAAATTTCTTTCTTTCTTTCTTTTTTCATGACCGAATGAGAAGGTAATACCTGCACAATTTCTTTTGCCATGTAAGATAACATATTCACAGCTTCCAGGGATTAAGAAGACCTCTTTCTGTAACTCTAGTAATTCTGCCTACCAAAGTATCTCACCCTGACGTATTTCAATATTTTTAAAGCAAGCTTCTTGGTTCTGGGATCTTTTATGTTTCCAAATTAAACTTTCTGGAAACATACCTGACCTATCTTCTGCGCTTAAAACCCTTTTGGCTTCCTACCAATCAAAGGTCAAATTAATGTTTAGCGTCTATAGGAAAACAGCCATTGAGTTCGGTCCTGTTTTGTTTTAGCTTCATTCTGACTATGATTCCACGTCTCCTCCGTCCTTCTTCAGGCTTGAAAAAGTTTACTGTGATTCTTCCTCACTTATAGCTGCTTTTGAAGCTCCCATTCTTTCTTCCAAACTCAGCTCAGACATCACCTACTCCAAGAAGATCTCTCTGACGCCTTTCCCCATAGTTGTAATCGCAGGACAACGTCCTCTTGTAAAAACCTCCGTACGTTGTGTATGTTTCTATGTTTTGCATTACACCCAAATGTGTTGTGATTTTTGTCTGTTTCACCTATCAAGAATTTACTTTCCTCTCTCCAAGCCAAACTCGGCCATTCCCCAAATTTGTAACTTTCTTTGGGAAGGCTATCTACTTCACGATGTCTCCCTTTCCCTGTGTAAAACAGGGGTAGTGACAGGATCTATACCATAGATTGTTGTGAGTAGAACGGTGACCTGAACACATTAAGTTTTGCCAGTATTATTCATATTCCCAGCTCTCTGCACCTCGCTGCGATGTAGTAGGTGCTTAACGGATGTTTATGGTGTGGATGAATTCGTCGTACTCCCACAAAGGTCCCTCGCCCTTGAAAATGGCTACCCCGGGCCAGGGCTCCTCAGCAGAATGGAGATCCAGATTCTGCTCCATCCTGGCGGTCTCTGGCGGCCCCTGAGAGCAAGGCTTCGGCTCCACAGGCAAAGCCAGGCACAGCGAAGTCCGCGGGGGGCGGCAGAGGGCGGACACTGCGCAGGAAGCCCCGCACTCTCCGCCAATGGAAACCCGGAATCGGGAGCGCGTCAGCTATCGTCGGGTAGACTTAAGGCCAGCCGACTGTGAACGGCCAAAGAGCCCCGGAATTTAGGGGCTTTCACGAGTCATCATCGTAATAGTCAACAATGACGGCAACAGACTCTCACATTCGCGCGTTCTTGTTAAGTGCAAGGCGCGGTGCAAATGCATGACCCCATTTAATCATCTCAACACACTACAAGGTTGGTGTCTCATTTTTACAACGGACGAAACTGAGAGCCTCAAGGGATAGCATATTCTTTCCGTATCTCCCAAGCGGATCCCGATCTCCAGCGTCCAGCGGTCTGGGCCTCGAGGTCCAAGTCTGGCTCCCAGGCCGCCGCTCCGCCCTTCTCGGCTTTCTCCAGCGCGGGCCACTTCCGACCCCTGCCGTCCCGTCCCCTGGCTCCTCCCACCCCGCCGCGCCCCGCCCCGTCCCAACCGCTCGGCTCCTCCTCCCCTGCCGGCTCCGTCCCCGACTTCCCGGCTCCTCCCCGGGCTGCCCGCCACACCTCTGGCCCCTCCTGCAAGCTCCGCCCCTCGCCCCTGGCTCCTTTTCTCCCGCCCGCTCTAGCCCGCGCTTGGCTGAGGTCCGCGAGCGCTCGCGAGCCACCGGGCCAGTAGGGAACTCGGCGCCGCCAGACCGCCCAGCTCGCGCCTCAGCGTCCCGGCGCCGCCGCGCCACTTCTCCGAGTAAGTGGCTCCTGGGCGCGCCTCTCCCGCCGCTGGGCTGCGGGCTGCCCCGGGCGCGCGCCTCCGGCTCAGAGAGTTTCTGAAGCGAGTGTGAGTGGGTGTGAGGGTGCGTTTGAACGACTGTGTGTATTTGAGCGTGCGTACGAGTTGTGCAGGAGCGCACAGCTTCGGAAACGCCTCGGAATTTTACTCAGGTCCAGTGCTGCACTGAGGATGCGAGACCCTGTGTTAGGAACCCTTACCTACTCAGGGCGACCTCTTAACCTTTACCTCCCGCTTCGAGCCCTTTTCCTTCCCCCGCCTTTTTCCTTCCCTCGCTATTTGTCACGTCCTCCTGTAACCACACATGCTGGCGAAAGCGTTGCCCGGGTTATCAGGATGCCCCAGATTGCAGACTGAGTTGCTGGCCTGAGATTGTAATCCGACCTTGCATTGTAAAATGGGCAGAGACCAGAGCCCTGCTTTGAGATCACCCGATGGCGACTTCCTTTGAAGAAGAAAGTGTGTGTGTGTGTGCGCCTGACTACACATGTGGCACTGGAGGAGCCCTCAGCACCTGCTGCACACACCTGATGAGCGCTCAGGCTCCTCGGACTGTAGGCGGCTGATAGGCATGTTCAAGACCAGACTGACCCACCAGGCTTAGGCACCTTGAATATTTTCATTGCTTCAGTGACGCTGTATTTCTAAACCAACAGATATTCTAAAACACAGGCGCTTTATGTAGAAGGAGCAGTGTCCCCAGAGGAATCATGTAAGGAATCAAACAGTAGTTAAGTGCCCAGTGTTGAAACAAAAAAATCCTTGTATTGCTTAAGACTGATCATTCCATCCCTACATAAATCATTTTGAAGGGGCGTAGGTCAGTACTCTCTCAATGGAGTATGTATTTCTACACTTAAACAATTAATTGAAAGCTTTGTTATCATAACAGCAGTGTTATACTTGAGTCTCTCTGTAAAATGGTTTCTTCATCTATAAAGTGATTGGCTGGTTGCTGGGGTCCTATCTAATTTTAATAGTGTCTCTGAGTTCTACATTTCAGTTTATTTTTGCTACTTTCTTGCTATGAAGGTAGAATATTCTACTTCGTTCATAATCCATTTAAGAGATGCTGATAGGGGAATCACATTTTGAGTAGAAATTATTCGTTGAGGGTAAGGATAACAACATTGTGTGGCCAAAGGAAAGAACCAAAAAGGGTAGCCTTTAAGAAGCCATTGTGCATTGGCACATGAAAGGTCAGAGTTGATAAGTCACTTTAAGTGCTGCTTATCGCAGCAGGTATTTTTATCCTGGTTTGAATCCTGTGTTACACAAAAGTGTTTCCACACTGTTTTAACTAAGGAAACATACTTTGCAATGTAAACATGTGACTCCATCTCTCTTTAAGGAAAGAAATAATTATCATATTTAATTAAACCCTTGGACACATTTATTGGCACCTTCTAATTAGAGCTGTCATGAGGAGTTTAAGTCAGCGAGTTACTGTTGTTTGTGTATAGAGACAGGTCTTGCTATGTTGCCCAAACTGGTCTTGAACTCGTGGTCTCAAGTGATCCTCCTGCCTCAGCCTCCTGAGTAGTTGGGGCTACAGGGGCCCACAAATAATTGTTAATATTCTAGCTAGTAACGCAATTTGCTTTTTCATAGATTTTTTTGGATGCCTTTTCCCCTCCATACACATTAATTGCCTCCTCCAGTCACTGCCCATCTTTTGAATTTTTACTTGTAATCTGAGTAAAGTTTAGGGAAGTAGACTATACCTACTCCTCTGTAAAATATGAATTCCTTAGATATTGAATGTGTTGTGTTATACTCTTTGGATTGACATATGTAGACTTTATAAATCATTGTATTTAGATTGTGTGACGAGTTAAGAATCATTAATAAATCAATGAATATAGGAAGGTTCTACCAAAAGCTTAGTGATCCTGCACAAATGGGGCTTTTAAACATTTTTGTTAAGGGAGACTTTTACTCTGTTGTGCCTTTTGTTCCAGTGTGTTTAAAGTCACCAAGAAAAGTTTGTGTGAGTTGAGAAATCTCATGCTGTTGCCTCTTAATTTTCTATTTCAGACTATATTGCTAGACATAGTCTTTGTTTAGGTGTTGAGCTGTCGTGAGGACAGGCTGTCCTGGGATCCTAAACAGAATAGCAGAAACCTGGGAGTGAACATACTGCCGGGGCCAGGAACAGAGTATTTTATGAGGCCGGTTCTTTGCAATTCTCATTCTGTTGAAATGGAGGAAAGGGTGTGTGGAGAGGAATGATTGCATCCAAACAGCACTCATTAGGAAATGCTGAGTTGGGGGAGGAGCGGATTTCTATGTGACTTATGGCTTGGAGAACTTCACGGAGATGATCCTTAAAGCTGAGTCTACCACAGTGCCAGACACTGCAGAAGTCTTATGTTTAATTGATCCAATTGATCCCTGGAGGAGATAGCCCAATGTGGAAGTAACACCCTTCCTGGGGATTTCATTCATACTCAGAATCAAGCTTTGTTCTATATCATGTGGAATGGTCCATTCCCCACCCCCTCCATTTATGCCTGATAGCAGTTGAAGGGGGTGAACATGGGCTAACCTCCAGGAGGCAGGGGAAAAATCAGTGATGATAAATGAGGGCCACTTGCTTCCTCAAAGAGGGGAAGGGCATAGGGGCTATTAGTACAATCCCAATGCTAGGGGCATTGACTTTGGCAGTGGTGATGTGCGCAGGGGCCAACCTGGATCACAAAGTGAACAGTTTCCCCTGCATTCTCAGGGATCTCTGGCTCTGATACAGAAGTTAAGGGAAGGAATTGTGTGGTGCCAGATTAACTTTTATCACCTCACCCCTCCTCACACTGCCCACATCCTGCATTTAATACCAAATACACACAGTAAGAACTCAGCAAACACTGAAAAAACCCTTGTAACACCCAACTTTTATGTTTCCCTGTAGCAAAGAATTTTCTCCCCATACTCGTCTCTGGTTTTGATGATTGTGGCCCTGGAGTCTGAGCCAACTGCTGTTTCTAGGCTTTTATACTTCAGTTGTGCTGCCCAGTAGCTGAAAACGAATGATTTGTAGAAAGTTAAAAAAAAAAAAAATCAGAGAACCATGTTGCAAAATGTAAATGAGGTCAGTTCATTTTTAGTCTACATTTTGGCCTGAAGAGGAGGAAATGAACTACAAGTGGAGGGTAGATAATTCTAGAATGGCAGAACCAACAGACATCTTGGAAACCACTTGGCCTACGGCCTTATACCACATGGTTGCTGTTACTCAGCTTTGGAGGTGTCCACCTCCTTTGTCCAGCTTGAAGAGGTGAGCACCATTCATTCACACAGCAGGCACTTATTGAGCTCCTGCTATGTGTCTGGTACAGCACATCCTTCTCAGGTTTACATGAAAGCCTGGGATCTGAGAAGGCAGGTACCTTGTACAAAGTCATCTGCTGGTAAGAAGGAGTCCCCGAAGGTAAGTTGCCAGTGGCAAAAATGGGTTTGGAATTCTCTTGTGTTTCACCAAGGAAAGTAAAGGTACTTCCTTAGTCAGGATAGTAGAATCGTATTCAAAATATTTGTCTTTCTCAACAATCAGAAACTCAAAGAAGCACATTTCTTCCAACGTCTGTTTCAAATAACCAGTGGTATTACTGAAATAAACCTGATTGCATAAGATTTTGTTTTACATCAGATGTAAATTACCTGAGAATTGTTTGAAAATATCACAGGCTCAGCAATAATGAAATAATACCCAGCCCATCCTTTTAGAAAGCAGTTGTTGTTTCTCTGGAAGCAGGTGTTCACGGTACAGAACCAAGGTAGCTGAGGTCCAGAACCAGCTGCAAAGCAGGATGGGTGCCAGAAAGGTTGTTTTCCTAGGCTTGCTCTTTTCCGTGTAGGACAAGGGGGATTAAAAACCAACATGGTGATGTTTTTGTCAAGGTGACGGGGGGCTACGTCTATTGATCTTTTCCACTAAAAACCAAAAACAAGGGTGGCGGGGAGGTGGTCACAGGAATGAGATTCCAGGCTAACTTGTGAACACCTCTGCGTTAGTTTCTTTAATAACAGAGAATGGAATTAAGTTCAAAATTCCACTTGTAGTTTCCTTAAACACTGGGAATAAAGATGACTTTAGTCAAGAAATAGTTGGTCCCCATGACTTTGCTGGAATCAGCAGCTCGTGTCTCAGCCCCTGCTGGCTGTGTGGCTTTGGACAATCTTCTTCACTCTCTGAGCCTGTGTCTTCACCAGACTAAAAACTGGGGATAGTATTTATATTACAGGATTGTTGTGCAGATTAAACCAGATGTTCCTCTCCTGTGTCAATGTGCAGAAGGCACCTATTAAGTGAAGGACTTGGTTAGATTGGCCAAATAGGTGTCATTCCAGTAAGTGTTAGTACTGGGCCACTGTGGAGTAGAGAGGGAGAGTAGTAACTTGTGTCATATGTGATTTTAGCATGAATTCTTTTTTCCTTTAATGACGCCAGAGGAGCCCAGAGAATGGGGTGAATGTAGCATAGCTTCAGTGAGTGCCAGCTACAGGGTCACATGATTATATAAGGGAAATGTTGCCGCTGCTGCCGAAGACAAGTGAGCCAGAGCAGGGCATTTGAGTTTCATGTGCCTGAGAACGAAGAAGAGCCATGGTACCCATTAAGCTTCTCAGCGTCAGGGAAGCTTTCAAAAAACATATTACAGTTAAATTGTGAGCAGTGGGTTGGCCTTTCACAACCCTCATGTTTAAAACAAGTGGTGAGTGAAACCAGATTATCTAAGACGGACAGCTGCCCTTGGTGTTGCAAAGGGAATCGGGCTGGCATGTCTTCAGGGGAAGTTGCTTGAGTTCCGGAGGCCCAGGGCAAGGACCGCATCTTCAGAATTAGGCACTAGGGCGAGGTCTTCTGCGAACACAGTACTCAGCACTCTTGGATATTTTAAAGGAGCCAAAAAGTAAGCAACAGCCCACTGAGCCAATACCCTCTCTAAGCCTGGCTCTTA